CCCCCAGCCAATGGCTGGGCCCTTTTACGTCCTGTCACTTGTTACCAGGGAGAGGCTCCCAGCAGAGAGCCACAGGGCACTGATGAACTCTAGGGCTGTAGAGTATGGGTAGGTCTCCTGTGTCCCCCTGGCCTGATCACTGGCATGGCATTGGTGGGGACATGTGTCATGGTCCCACATCCTCTCATCCCCACCCCTCATCTGGAGCAAAACTTTTCAGCCACTATATTGCTCCATGACTGGTTTGTACAGTGCCATGTGCAGGGTCTCAATGTCCCAACTGGGCCTCCAAAAATCAGGGAGGTGGACAGACTGTGGAGGCACCCACCCATCTGGGTTAGGGGAGGAGGTGTGACCCCGAAATCTCTGGAGCAACCCCAGATTCAGTGCCCACTGGGATAATTATCTTGGGATAACTCATGGGGCCTTTAACATTTATACCCCATGGTCTTAATTTGGAATAGCTTCCCCATGGGGGCCAGGACCTTGAGGATGGGGAAACTGAGGCAGAGAGGTTGATGAGACAAAGTGTGTCAACTGAGGCCAAGCAAGAGGTCCAAGCCCCACCCTCCCCGAGGGCCACCCCAGTGCTCTACCCACTGTACTCCATTGCCGTGCTGGGAAGCAGGTGGTGCTCTATTGGGGTTTCTCTGGGCCACCTGACCCGCAGAGTTAGGGAATCTTTCCCCCTTCACTCCCCATCCCATAAGCACCTGGAGACAGCGGGTTTTTCTGCTTGATGGGGGCTGGAGCAGGAAAGAGGTGTTGGAGGCGGCTAGTGGTTCATGAGCCACCTGGCTTCAAATCCCCCCTCTACTGGAAGGGGGTCTGAGCTCATCTGTCCTGCTCTACCCATCTGGCAGCCTGGGGCAGGGCATGCTGGGAAGGGGACCCCCACTTGCTCTTCCCAAAGCTGTCTAGAGAGGAATTAAAGACCTCAGGGCACTGGGAAAGGAGTGCATTGACTCCAGGAGTTCCCAATTCTTTGTACCTTTATTTCCAGGGGTTGCTGATTCTCCATGGATTCCTTCATTTACTCCCACAAGTTCCTGATTTCCAACTAGTCTGCATTTATTCCCAAGAAATCCCAATTTCCAGGGATTCTGCATTTCTCACCGTTACTTTCCTGCGAGTGATTTTTCCATCTTAAAAGAAGAACTGTATTTTCATTATGCATGGGTAGCTAGGTCTCAGCAGAAGACTTTGGACAACTGGGTTGCAGGTATTAATTAACCCATTGAGAGCATTTGTGATTATTCTGTAGCTGAGGAGTCGGCTTAATTATCGAGAAGCTAAGGCACCACTGGTCCTTTCAGTTAATTGTTCAATGTAAATGATTTCTCTTAATTATAAACCAATTGTGAGGTTAAAATAGCTTTATTTATCCAAAGGACGGCTGATCTTCATGACTAATTATCCTGATCATAATTATTGTAAGTGTCTCCCCAGGTAGGAACAAAACCTCAAAGATGCCGTTTAGTGGATTATTTTCTGTTGTAATCTTGAAAGTAAATGAAACCAAGTTAGGGCCACTTTAATATTGAATGCCCGTGTTTATAAGAGGTTCCTGCAATCCACTTGAAAGGTTAATTCAGATTAACTGTCCTGTGTAAGCCCAATGCTGCTGACAGGTCCACTGAATTCAATAAGACCCCCTGCTTGCTTTAAGTGAGGCACAACTTGCTGTGCTTTGCAGAACTGGAACTGCCATTCATTAGACAGACAGACAGACAGCCCCCTAAGCAGAAGGAGGCGGCAGTTTTAAGGCATAAATGTATATAATTGGAAACCAGTGAAATGAAGTGAGAAGCAGACTTGTAGAAAAGTGATAAGGGAAGGAAAAGGACAAAAAAAGAAGTCTATGGGCAGCAGAGGAAAGGAGAGTTAGAAAAGGGCTTTATTTAAGTATGTTGGAGGGAGCAGGGCAGAAGGAATCCTAGCCATGGTATTGGTCCATTGTTAAGTGAAACTGGTAGAAATTTGTTAACAGTAACACAGAAAAGGAAGAAAACATTCACTAAATGTTTCTATTCCGTATTCGAAAGAAAAACCAGATGATGCAACACAACGGTGGGGCTATGTGGATGGACACTTTCCATCCTAACAATAACATTGGGAGGATGTTAAAAGCTCAGGTGCTTTCTTCAATCAGCAGGTCCAGCTAATGCAGACACAAGAGTTGCAAAAGAGCTGGCCAAGGTGCTCTCTGGACTGGTAAAGCTGACTTTCTTTTAAGTGCTGGAGTACCAAGGAGGTCCAAAGGACTGGAAGAAAGCCAGTGAGTCATTATTTACAAATGGGAAAAGGGACAAATCAGGTAATCACAAGCCTATCAGCGTGCCGTGGGTGAGGTAAGACTCATTAATAGTAATGAGGTGAAATCAGCAAGATCATTAATGCCAGTTGACGTGAGCTTATGGAAAACAGATCTTCTCGAATTGACTTGATATCATTCCTTTTATTTTTTTATTGCATGATATGAAGAGTTTGGCTGGTAGAGATAACCCTGGTGTGGTACAGTCCACACTGCAACTGAAGAGCCCTTTGGTTCAGTTGCTGTCTGGTCCTGAAACTGATGAGACTCTGGCTAAGTCTGGGAGGAGATAAAAGCAGAAATGAAAGTTGGGGAAAATAAAATCAGATGCTAAATATGGCAGGTGGCTCCATACCGAGGACAGAGGTAGTCAGCAACCAGGCACAGTGACTGGCACCTTAGAGACTAACTGGTTAAGAGGGGCACAAGCTTCCGTATGCTGTGCCTCTGGCCCTGACTCTGTGCTCTGAATGCCTGGCTTGGACCCTCCTCCTTGCTCCTGCTCCTGTGCTGGACCTCCTGGCCTGGATCAACTGGTTGCCCTGACCACAATCTTGTCTCAAATCTCAGCCTATTGTCCTGGACTTGGCTTTAACTTTGGCTTGCACTCCAGTGAACACCTGACTGCATAGGAGCCACTTGGACTGAGTTCCCTTGCCCTAGTCAGTGCTTATAGTCCCAGACATGGCCAGTCTCAGGAAACTCACTGAGCTCCACAGAGGGACATTCGGGTTAAATTCTCCAGCTTGGGTGACACCAGAGGTTGGAAGAGACGACTCTGTGACATCAGCCAGACCTTAAGCAATGAAATTAGCACTTCAGGCTTCAGCTCAGGGTCTTGGATTTGGGGTCTGCAATCCCTGGTTTACAGGAAGCTGAGGCTAAGGTTTATCATGGAAAAGTCAGGCTGGAAGGGACCTCACAAGGTCACCTCTAGCCCAGCCTCCTGCACAGGGCACAATCACCCCTGACTAAACCACCCCCTGTCTGTCTAACCTGCCCTTGAAAGTTGCCAAGGATGGAGACTCCATCGCATCTCTAGACTGGCTGTTCCAATGCTCCACTGGCCTCATAATCAGAAAGCTCCTCCTCATTTCCAGCCTCAGTTTCCCCTGCTGCAGCTGGAGGCCATAACTCCTAATCCTGTTCCCTTTGGCCACAGAGAGAAACTCATCTCTATCCACTCTGTCACCACCCTTTAGGGGTTGGAAGGTTGTGGTCAAACCCCCCCTCAGTCTTCTCTTCTGTAGGTGAAATAACCCTAGTTCTTTTCAGAGAGCAAGCACGGTTGCTGACCATAGTGCATTCTGCTTGGTATTTCTGCCTATGGGCCTGTGAAGGTCAGGGACTTCTGTCTCAGAGGAAAAACAAGTCATATCATTGACTAACTGGTTGCAGAAGTATTTCCCTTTTGCGGCTTCCTGATTCTGATTGCATATCTCTGACTGCGATGTTGTGCTGGGAGCTGCTGGTGGAGAATCTGAGAAGTTCTGTATCCTGCTGGGGAGAGCCTGCAGTAGACTTTCAGTTTAACTCAAGAGAGCTGAAACATGTGCAGATGCTTCTCTGGATGGTCCATAAAGAGTTCCACCAACTGGAAAAGGAAGTTAGATGAACCCAGAGCAGAAATCAGGAGCAACTTCCTTTTTTTAATAGTGTGGGTGGGGAGGGGCTAAGCATCAGTACATAGTTTGAGATGTGATGAACTCTCCGTCTACCCAAGTGTATAAATGAAGGGTGCTCATTTCTGGAGAAGAGATGCTTTAGGGTCCTGCCATGGACCCAAATGCGATCTGGATAGAAACCAGCTATAAAGTTGTTACACATTTTCAAGCATTAACCTGGTAGCTGCTTAGCTCTTTTTATAGCTGGATGGACACTTTTATGGCATTATGATTACTTGGCATGTGCAGCCAGTCTAAATGTATTGCATGATTAACCCGTTAATTGCATGGTAATTACTTTACCCATGTGGCCGGTCTAAATTCATTGCGCAATTAACTGGTTAATTGCATGATAATTACTTTGCACAGATAGCTGGTCTAAATTTATCGTGCCATTAACTAGTTAACTGTGTAATTATATGTAATGTATGGCAGGGGGCTTTTGATCCCTCACCAAATGCCAGCTCAACTCTTCACTTTCACTCAGTCTTTTGATCCCTCAGAAAATGCCAGCTCAACTCTTCACTTTCACTCATTTTCTGACTAAATGCTAGAGCAATTAATTCTTCTGTTGCAAAAGAGAGATGAGAACAGGTCAGAATACTTTTGGACGCTGGGGATTGCTATCCGAAATCTCTGGGTTGATCTTCTGAATTGTCTGTTGGTGTTTCAACTAATATTGTGCAGCACCTTTAAAGGGATCTTGCAGGGTCCCACAGCCCTGGTTGAGAATCACTGGACTAGATAAGGGTTCCATTTGGCTTCAAAATCTGTGACTCCAGTGTCGGGCAGACACACAGACGTTTGTGGCTTGGGTCCTGGCACAGATGCTGTATGGAACTAGCAGGGATGTTTGGAGTAAATTCCTAGCTTCTGGAGTGGTGCCATTGAATGAGGCTCTCCTTTTATTTATTATTGTTTTTACTAATCCTAATGATTGTGGAGAACCTTGTGATGCCCTAACAGGTCACTAGGAAAGCAAAGAAAAGGAAAGCCTGCGTTGGTTATGCAAATCTTGCGGCTTTTAAACCAGTCTTGTTATTTTTGAGGCATGATTTGTGATTTGTGATTGGGAGGGGCTGCTGATACCAGAAATATTCATCTCCAAGCCTTGTAGTGGAGCTTTTAGGATAATCCCACTAAAAGAAACAGCATTTCAATCCACAGACTTCCTGTCCCATCCCTGAGTTGTCATCATTTGAAGCTTTGGGGCATGTCTATACTAGCCTTGACAAAGCTGTTAAACACTGAATTAAACAGCAGTCAACTAATTGGGACAGCATAGGGGAGAAGGAGAATAATGGGGTGGGGGGGGCAATAGGGAAATCCCATGGGAGTGTTTCTGCTTTTCAGTATAGGTGAAAGTTTTTAACGCTGTGAACTCTTAAACTTGAGGCCTGAACAATTAGCATCTGGGTTGAGCTGCCACCTCACTTCAGTGAATGAGGTTCTTCTTTCAGAATTGCTGCTGGGGGCAGCAGTATGGGAGGGAGGTTGTGCTGTTTTGTGCATGAAGTCAAATGTTGAACCCTAACTTTTAAATCAAATGTTAGAAGCGTGAAGGAGGGAGCAAAACATCTTGCAAAGGGCCCCAGGGCCTCAAACTGGTTTAGTTTGGTATATTTCTGCATTTATTTGCATTTTGAAGCTCCTTGTTTTTTCTTCCAAACTTGGTCCTAAACCTGTTCGGTCCAAGACTCAGGAAGGGGTGAAGGCTCAGTGCTTTTAGCATTGGGCCTTGTTTTCAAATGTGAAACTGCATTCATTTTGCAGTGCATAACAGCCTCTTGCATTACTTAGTACTT